TATTATTATTATTATTATTATTATTATTATTATTATTATTATTATTAAAACTCAGTCAACTGAACATTTAAAAATGTATCACAAATATTATTTAACTGGCACTGTTGGTTGATATGGGTTGCTGCCAGCATCCAACATTATTATTATTGTTCATCGCACAGTCAGCCAGATGTTCAGGCTGGGTTTGGCATTTTTGTCTATCGAGTCCTTACCAAGGACCTGGAATAGGCAAATCTGGATATTTGATGGTGTTATTGGTGTTCCCGCAGGAATGGAAGCTGTTCCAAGTAAAGCTGCCTTCTGCAATTGACCGATGGCAAATTTGTCAATGCCTATGGTGTTCAAGGGGTGCTCCAGTTGTTTTGGGACTGCACCCAAGGCACATAATAATAATAATAATAATAATAATAATAATAATAATAATAATAATAATAATAATAATAAGAATAAGAATAAGAATAAGAATAAGAATAAAACAAGAATGATAAGAAAGACTTTCAGACCTGAAGAACCTTCTTGGACCAAAGGTGAAAAGTTGTTTTTTAAAAACCCACCAAGAAAGTCCAGTTGCCTTTTGGAAAGGAAAAAAAAAAAGCACCTTTGGGACAACCATGAACCGGATGATTGAGGCTCTCCATAGAGGGACCTACCCCTGCGATGTTTTTAGAGAAAGAAGTCTGGGTTGATAAGATCCAGCCAACCGAGGCCTAATCGAGGATGCTTGAAGAGGCGGGAGGAAAAGGGGGGGTGTATCCAGGCGCTGCAAGAAGCTCGCAGGAACCTGTTGGGTCTGATAGTGTTAACAGTTGTTTTAAGTTTAACTCAAGCTGGCCTCAAGGGTGCAATTCGGTCCTGCATAAAAATCTCTCTGTGGCACTTTCATTGTTTGCAAACACATCCACTCATTGAAAGGAGAGACGCCCACGGGGCGGCTTTTTTTTTTTTTTTTTCTGGACACCCAAATCCAGACGAAAATTTGCTCCCCTCACCCTTTTCCCCCACCCCGTTCTGACTGGAGAAACCCCCTGTGAACTGATTTGTAGTGTTGGAGTTAAGTATAAGTTAGAGGCCATGTGAGCGACCCTCACAGTCTAGTGGCAAGCAATGCAAACTGTATTGGGGGGGGGGGGAACCAACAGGAGATTTGCTACCTGGGATTTTGGAAAGTCCAAGATGGAAAGCCCCTGTTTTCTGGATCCGCCCTTGAAGCTTCTCTTTATCCTAGACCTGGCTGCTGGGACCTCCCCTTCCTTTCCTGTATGATGCAACAGCTAGCAACAGTGCACTGCTCAGTATAGACCGATATCTGCTGACATGAACAGTACACGGATTTCTCCTTTACTTGCTTGCCAGGTTTTATCTTAAAGCTGCAATCTTGTATACACTTACCCAGTGAATAGTAGGCCGCCACCTCTGAATTACACCAAAAATAATTGCCGTTCAGTCCTGTTTTGCAATGAAGTCCCATTAGAATGGCTGCTTTTGAGTGCATTGGTATAAAATTATAAACTGCTACTTACAATATTCTCTGTGGAACTTTCAAACCTGCATTTTCCTTTCCTTGCCTCATCCTTGTATATTTAAATCCTAAATCAATTAAGGCCACGTGTCTGATGCAGTGAGTGGCACTTTAGGAAAGTTTGTGCCTTAGATTAACAGTGTGTTGTTAAAAGATGCTACTGAAGTCAGACTTTTTAAATTTTGGATGCCTTCAATTTGCACTTGGACATGTTGCTTTCCAGATCATTACAATGTTTATCCGTTATTTTTGGTAATCTGGCTTGATAGGGAAAATTTCAGTATTGATCATTAGCTGTCCAAACTTATAAACCGATAATTTTTAGGGACAAAATCAGTGGATCCCCTTTACATTGAAACTTTGCTGAAGAGAAATGTGGAACTGCTTAACATTAAGCCTTGTCTCATGGTAAGATGGAGGCAAACGGATTTAATAAATATCTTTTGCTTCAATCACCAGCAATGCATTCAATTGAGTTTTGCTGATTAGGTTTGTTATAGAAATGGTTAATATATATAAAGTATATATATTAAGTATAAAGTTATAAAGTATAAAGTTGAAGTTTTACCTTATTCTGCTGCCTCAAATGGAATCGGAAGTCAATGCTCTTTCCCACCCCTTATCCTACACTCTTTTTCTTCCCTTTTTCCTTATTTTCCCCTTATTTTCATTTTATTTGTACTTCTGTATTTTATATTTTGATAGACTAATCAAACATTTGAATCCAAAAAGCAATGCATTCAGTAAGCTAAGCAGTGATTGAATTGGTGCTGAATCAAATTATTGGTAGTGAGTTGCAGATTATTATTTTTATGTCCGCTTTTTTTTTTTTTTGTAAATTTTATTTGAGTTTTCACAAAAAGAAAAGAAACACAATTAAAACATCTTTTTTGAAAGCAGCATAATCCCGGGTTACATTTCTTCATGCAGACGCAATTTTAGGTTCATGCTCATTTTTATATTCTATTCCATATCTTATTACAATTTTACATTTTCTACATAGCTTCTCCCCTGTTTTAATTTCCTCGATTTTATTATATTTATTTCATCTCAATTCAAATCATTATATTTATATTTTTTGTCTGTCCTGTTTCAATTGTCTATTATCTTTTCTCATTAAACAAAATTTCTCCTGTAGTTACTGATTGGAGTATGACGCCTTTATATCTTTCCCCTAAAGTTATAACACTCAATATAATACATAGCTTCCATTCGGATTCTGTTTGGTACATTCTTAAACTACACACAATATTCTTATAACAAAGAAAAAATTATAAATGTATATAATTAAAACAACATTCCATTCCAATTCAATTCTATCATTAATATTAAAATTCATTAAAGTCTTAAGATTTTTCACGTTACTTTTCAATTAAATATCATACCTCTGTGGGAACAATTATTAGCTTTCCATAGTCAATTCCCCCCCCCTCTTCACTTATATTTTATAAAACAGTTGCAGGTTATTACTTTTAAGTCCGCTTTTTGAAGGAGTAATTTCTGAATAATTTAGAACTTATTTAAATCGTTGTCCACTAGGACTCCGAGATCCCTCTCACAGTTACTACTATCGAGCAAGGTACCACCTATACTATACCTGTGCATTTGAGTTTTTCTTGCCTAAATGTAGAACCTTATTTTTTTCACCATTGAATTTCATTTTGTTAGATAGCACCCAATGTTCAAGTCTGTCATTTAGTACTTATTGTGCTGGCTCAAAGTGACTCCTACCAGATTCAAATCATCGGAATGGCCCAAGGCAGTCTGAATGCTTGCTGATTGATTTCTTTTAAGGGGGTGGACTAACAGAGCCAGCCTTGAATTTCTGCAGCCAAACTTTCTGTTAAAATTTAACAAGGTGGAACAGACAAAGTCCTTGTTTTACACAATCAGGTGCTCTCCAGGAAGCCGCTACTGATTCCATCACATGCACCAACAGGGAAGGGCTTGGAATGGTTAGGGTCATGACCCTGCTAGATAATTAGTAGTTTAATTTATTTGGTCATCTGAGTCACCTAGGATGGGGGTGAGTCAGTAAAGAGTGCAAGAAAATACATTCTTTTTTCCCCTTCACACTTATCTGGCAACCATAAAGTCTCCCTTGAGTTTAAAATTAGAAAGTGTTTGGTAAATCCTTTTTCACATTAACGTTATTCATTAAAAGGTGCAAACGGTTTTTTTTGGGGGGGGATGTGTTTTATTGGTACATTTTCCTTTTAAAAACATAAAAAATTCCATGTCTGTCTGAACAGCGTGTTGTCTGGGCACAATTAATTTTAAGTAAAGATACAACAGTAACCAAAATCATGCTAGTAATCTTAATAAACATATCCATATTAACCACAGCATAATAATATGATCAGTTTATCCATCTTGCAAAATTTTTGATACAAATTCTTATCTTTTAAAATTCTGTTTAGTTTCTAACCTCTCTTTCTATTAGTTAGCCATTGGTAGAATAAATCCCAAGTTAAAAACATATTCTGTTTCT